TTGCTGTGAGCTAGGATGACGCCATGGCACTCTAGCCTGGGCAACACAGTGAGACTCTGTCTCAAAAAAAAAAAAAAAATAAGTCATTTTAACCACATACATAAAAGATCATACTAAAAATAGCTCTCCTCTTTGAAGGAAAAAAATAGCAGTGACAACAAGAACAGAATAAGAGGGATAGATTTGAAAGGATAGAACTGGCAGGACTTGCTCTGGGGCCAGTCATTGGATGAGGATAAGAAAGCAGGAGGGATTGAGACCCCCACGTTCTAGCTAGGTACTCAAATATTTGAACGAATGAATGAATGAACAAATTAGGAAGTACAATGAACCATATCTATGATAATGTTATTAAATAACGCAGGTGATAAAGAAGATAGAGCTGATTTGGGTGAAAAGTGATATTAGTTTTGGATACACAGTTTGTTTGAAGATGCCTGGAGTATACAATGGTAAATGGGCCAGTGGCTCTTAGGCAAGGTATTAGGGCAGGAGACAGCATATTTGGTAATTAGCAACATAAGTCTGTGATGCCTACACCTCTCCCTATCACAAGTCTTTTATAAAAAATTTCCCGCATGGGCCCTGTGATTCAAAAGGTTTCTGTCCCTAAAATACTGTATTTATCCAGTAATATTTAATCAACACAACATTTCGTAAATTAAAAATCTAGATAGCCAACTATCAAACCTTCTGATAGGCTTGAAATCACAAATGTTAACTCACCAACCTGATAACACTTCAAGCCAAAGCAAAGAAACCAAGTGTCTCAGCTCAAACAACCTTATTGTCAGAAAGGTGTTATTTTCACCAGGTTTCTTGAAATTCTGAAAAATCCTGATTCTAGGATTTCAAAGGCCCTAGATTGAGACAGCTACCGAAAGAGGCGATAAGCGAGTCCATCAGAATAGATGAGACCACCTAGGGAAGATGGCACATCACGAGGAGAGGAGAGCCGGGAACAGCTGTCTGCACCATCGGTGTACCACCAGCTCATTCCAGAGAGGCTTCCTTTGAGCTCAATTGGAAGACTCCCAAAAAATACACTGTAATGCTAATGCAAACAACTGAATGAACAACCAGAGGCTCTCCCAATCAGGGGAGCCTTCAGGGTCCAGTTCCCCAGGCCTAAAACAACAGTCTTCTTTAGGCAAAGAAGCAGCAGCGAAAGGTTATCTCAAGACTGGCCTGGAGACCTGAGTTAGCCACTTGGCTGTCTTCCCCCAATTCCCATCATGCAAGAGCATTTAACACACGCCTACTTTTTAGTTGGGCTTTTTAATCCCATCCATACAATTTCTGATGCTGGATGACCCAGAAACTCAGCACTATTTGGGAGAGTGACTTGGGCTTGGCATAATCTGGACAGATGTGGTTAATACCTGTGGACAGATGGTGTTCATCCGGTAAAATCAGGCACTTTATTGTGTTAATTAATCCAAGTGGGACCCTGAAAACACATTATTAGCCGAATTTCCTGTCTAGCAAGGCCATCAGTGCTTTCTGTTGAGAAATCCTATATCCTGGCATAATCAGGGGTGTTCTGGAAATCTTTTCCTTAAGGAAAAGCAAGAAAGCAAGAAAGGCAAAAGTGCTAAGAGAGCTAATTTAAAGATGAAGGCCCCACAACCTCAAGCAGGGCTAGCCAGCCTCGCAGTGAGCCTGCAGTCCATCCCCCTGAGCCGTTCTCGCAGTGGTCCGCAGGCCTTGGCTGTGAGGAAGCAATAAAGTGATTCTCACTTTAAATTAGTTCAATTAGCACCTTTTTTTTAAAGGCAGCAAAATGCTTTTATTCAGAAAGTGGTTTTCTTCCTTTTGGCAACCTGTATGTGAAAAAGATTTCTGTGGGCTTTTGTTTTACCATTTAGCAGCTGTTCTTGCTTAAGAAGTGCCACTTCTTTTTTTTTTAAGAGAGGTCAGGCCGTCAGGGGGTTAATTTCAGTCAGTTCTATGCCCTCTTCCCCAGATGCCTTTGAAAAATGTTGCATGCGTTTACATGGGGATAGAATAGAAAGAAAATGATAACTTATTTTTAACTTACGGCGGCAGAGTCTCCGTGTAATTGCCAGGAGCCAGTTTGTACGGAAGAAAGAGACTGGGTTTTGTAGTCAGGCACACCTGAATTAATCTCTTGGCTCTATCACATACCTGCTAAGTGACCTCTGAACTCAGTTTTTCATAGGTAAATAGGAAAAACCATGTCTACCTCCCTGGTTGTGAAAAATGAGTAACTGGACTGGATTGCTGTAAAGGGTAAGGTCCAACACCTGGGGCCTGGTAGGAAGAAAAAGTGTCACCGCTAAGTCCTAGCATCTGCCATGTGCCAGGCACTGTGCCGAGTGCTGTCTGTGTGTGGCCTCATTTCTCCCTCACTGACCCTGTGAGGTCAGCATGACTCTCTCACTTCCAGTTGAAAAAGCTGAGGCTGGCGAGGCAACCCAAATCACCCAGCGGGTATTCAGTTGAGCCGAGATTCAAAACCAAGATGGCCTGAATTTTGAAACTTCATGCTCCTCACCACTCTGTAAAAATATTTGTCACCGTTCTTCTCTTTGGTGCCCCGGTGTCCGGCTGGTGCACAAAGAAATATCGAACAAATGCTTTTAGTGATGGTTTTGGCATCCAACCCTTTTCTTGGCAAATCTTCTCTAAATCACCTTTTGCTCAAACATCAGTCTTCTCCCAGAAGTAGATCCTATTCTCTCCCTTCTCATATTCATTTGGTGCAAACTTGTTTGTTGTTGTTTCCTTTCTCTTTATGAAGGCGGAAGAGACGGAATTTCAACAAGCAAGCGACGGAAATCCTGAATGAATATTTCTATTCCCATCTCAGCAACCCTTACCCCAGTGAGGAAGCCAAAGAGGAGTTAGCCAAGAAGTGTGGCATCACAGTCTCCCAGGTAAGGGGACCCTCAAAAGGCTCAGCCTGTGGCCTGGCCCTGGTGGCACCATAAGGCAGGGTCCTTGAGGTCTTGCTTTATGGAACACTCATGCCTTGCAGGTTCTGTGAGCTAAAGCCTTAAAATGGCAAGGTAAGCACTTGACGTGTGTAAAAGAATTTCCAGGTAAGTACCTGGCAAAGCTGGAGAGGAACTAGCAGGAGGAGAATAGTAGAGTACAGTGTAAAAACAGGGATAGGGTCTTCCCACTGAGCACTCCCTTGTTTCAAACGTGTGAAGCGTCTTCAATGTACTTGTAAAGTTATCTGAATTCCTCCTGCTCTTCTCTCAAACTTAGCCAATTCCTTAGCCATTTTTTTGTCCAGCCCGGGAACTTTAAGAGTCAGTGAATGGAACTAGTCGTTACATAGCCTTTTAAATGAAAGGAACTTAAATGTCTTCTCTTGATGTGCTGACTCTGTAACTGATGGAGTGTAGGAATTTTAACCTGTCACTATGATTACATGGAATGGTTGCACAAAATGTCACTGAGTGGCCCCGTCCCCCAGAGAGCAGTACCCATAACAGGTGCCTGTTGACTTGGAATACATGATGTAAAATTTGTATAGACCTGGAGTCTGCAACGTGAACGTGAGGTAGAAAAGCAGTCAGTCTTTATATGCATATACATTGTGTCCACTCAGAGGGTCCGTCCAAACATCTTATTCATCTGAACCTCAAATACCACCATTGATCTCTAGTTGAGACCAGTAGTGATTGTTCTAAAATGTGTCAGAGAAGGTCTTCTTCAGAATTATGTAACATGTAAGAAAACTAAATGTACTAATATTTCCATTAAAAGTGAAGGAGGGGAGGGAGTCGTTGGAGAAGAAGCCTACTCTAGTGAGAAACTTCACTTAACATTTTTCAAATGAAGTAGATGCTGCTTTGTATAAACTGAGCATCTGCACTTCCTTGAGTTGAATCCTGGCTCCTGTTACTCCCCGCAGGGTGCAGATCCCATCAACCTGTGTTGAGCTAAGCAGAATTAGGTCCAGTCAGAATACAGAACTCCACTAAAGATACTTACAATGAGAGGATTGCCAGGGCCTCCCCAGTGAGCTATGGGTGATTTTGCAGCTGCAAACATCCTTTCAGATAAGGCAGAATGAATTGACTCCAGGCTTTCCTTGGGTGCTTTGACCCAGCTGAGGATCATTTCCAGTCTTGACAGTTCTGGGAAAGCAGAACATCAGTGGTCAAACTCAAGTAGCTTAGTTTGTTATAGGGCTGTAACCATTCTTGTCCAAATTTAGACACCGTCTGCAAAAAAAAACCCAAAAAAACAGGAATTGAAGCTTTTTAACATTTGCTGCACATTTGATAACTGGTTCCAGGTATGAATTACATCACTAACTCACAAATCAGTGACTTTTAGTCATAGAGTCTTCTGCTTCTAAAGTAGAATTTAATCACTTTATTGTCTGAATTCCAAGTCTAGGATTCAGAATTTCAAATGCCTGTTGAAGGTAAAAATGAACCTTCGGGAGCCAATCTGTTTAACAAGCTCCACATGACACGTAACTTTGAAAAGCGCTGTTCTACATGCTTTATCTGAGTGACGTCTTCCATGCTCACAGCTACAAATGTACTTCGATTTGAATATCCAGATGGAACTTCTCTCCTGGAATCCCAAACTCATACATCTTCCTTCCCATTGGACTTTGCTGTGTCTCTGCCCAGAGGTTCTTCAATATTACTGTGTTCGAAATGCGAATCAAACTCTTCCTATAAAATCTACTGTTCTTTCTGTATCACCTGTCTCATGCCGTATCTGTCATCTGTGCATCCCCGGTGCCCGACACATATTAGGTCTTTAGTCCATCAGCTGATGAATCATTTGTTAAGTAATGTCAGAAAACACTGACTCTGTGCATTGTCCAGGGCATATGATCTGGGCTAGTGGACAATGCAGGAAATGCCTGAACTGACCTAGAATCTTCCTACCAGTGCCATTCTTCTCATCTACGAGGGAATCATTCCCACAACCTCTTCCCTCTCCACCTCCTTCCGACTCATTTTTTTCCACATATAGCAGATTTCATTGGCCCTCAGGTATTTCCTTTGCTCCTCAAAAGTCCCCCTAAACTACCTTCATCTTTCCCCTCTTTATTCCAGCTCGTCCAGATACCTGAGAAAAATCTCCCTACCTTTTTTCCCTCTCCCTATTCTACTCATAAATCAAAAAGCAACCCTAATTATGATTGATTCATATGGATAGTAAAAGTTATATCAAGAAAAACATGAATTTAAAAGTGAAATTAGATAGACAGCGATCCTGAAATGTACTCAGAAGTGTCCTTCCTCCTCCAGTTTAATTCTCTTTTTCTGTAGACACCGGCAATTTACAGTAAATAAAGCATTTTATTGAACTTTTTCTCTCTTGTTTACTAATGCTGTAATGGTACAGTTTGATTTTTAAACAAAGGCTTGGCATTTCTGCTCTAGTATAAGCTGCATAGGCCTTTGAGGGCTACTCTTATAAGATGTTTTTTTTTTTTTTTTTTGAGACAGAGTCTCACTGTGTTGCCTGGGCTAGAGTGCCGTGGCGTCATCCTAGCTCACAGGAACCTCAAACTCCTGGGCTCAAGTAATCCTCCTGCCTCAGCCTCCCGAGTAGCTGGGACTACAGGCATGCGCCACCATGCCCGGCTAATATTTTCTATGTATTTTTAGTTGTCCAATTAATTTCTTTCTATTTTTAGTAGAGACGGGGTCTCGCTCTTGCTCAGGCTGGTTTCGAACTCCTGAGCTCAAACAATCCGCCCGCCTCGGCCTCCCAGAGAGCTAGGATTACAGGCGTGAGCCACCGCGCCCGGCCTTATAAGATGTTTTAACTGTGCTAATGCATTTAAAAAATAAGTGTAGTTTTGTAAGAATTTTCTTTATCTGCCATTGTTGAGAGGTAAATATTGACATAAATTATATGCAAGCTATCATATGTGTTTGATCAACTCCCCTATCCTCATCAATTTCATAGTTGGTTTTGTAATTGTATAAAAACCATAACATTTTAGTTCAAAATCACATCTGGAATATGGGGTATAAAACTTTCCTCCCCAAGGCAGGAATTATGGGAGTAAAACTTGAATTTAACTGTATCTCCACTTGTGCCTGGCAGAGGTCTTGGGATAAGGGGAGCAGAGGTACCAGATCAAGCCAAGACAGCCACCGGGAGCCACATGAAGAAAATAAATTAACAAATGAAAGCAAATTAGGTTTGTTGTGTTTATTGGCTTTAACATTTAAAGCCTGGAATTCAAAGGAATAATCAGCTATATGCTTCGGTTTTTCCTGATGTAGATGATACCAAGCTTTATACAAAATACTCACTAAAATCCATTACATTGAATTATATTGATCCTAAGGTCTATAGTAAAAAGCAGCTAACAATCTAAGTTCTTTAATCTAAGTATTCAAGTTATTAAACTTCTAAAAATTTGAAATTATTGCATGAAAGCGCCTATATGTTGATGTAGATTTTGTAGGGATATTTAAAGGCCTGTGTATTTTAATTGTAGAGAGTCAGCTTTAGCACTGATAAGAGGCATTTCTTCTGAAATGTTAGGTTTCTTTTATTGTCATAAGTGAAGAGGTAAGCAAACTTAAAATGCTTGCTCTAAATTAAAAGGATCCTAGATTAAATGAGCAGCTCCTCTGTAGGAAAATATTTATCACAGTGGTTTTGTTAGATATTAGTTATATTAACAAGAGAATCTCATATTCTGTAGTTGTTCCTTTTAAAACTCCTACTTCATATCTTTTTAATGTTGTTGCAAAAATCATGCATAGAATAAGACCAATTAGCCTATCTCGTCATTCCTTGCCTAAGCTCTTCTATTTCTTCTGTCATGTTTCTGAAGGATGAAATGTTAACTTTCTCATCTTCTTCTAAACTGCTATAGGTATCAAACTGGTTTGGAAATAAGCGAATCCGGTACAAGAAGAACATAGGTAAATTTCAAGAGGAAGCCAATATTTATGCTGCCAAAACGGCTGTCACTGCCACCAATGTGTCAGCCCATGGAAGCCAAGCTAACTCACCCTCAACTCCCAACTCAGCGGGTTAGTTTTTCCTTTGATTTGGGGGGATCGTTCTCCATTTTTATCCTTGCTTTTCCTGTACATTGGGGTTTTCTTTTAATTCTTTAAGCTTTTGATTGTTTGATTTATATATTTAATTATCTTTTTTGTTGTTGATGCAACTTTGGGTTTTCCCTTTCATTTCCAAAAAGCAATGTGTTATACTCCTAACAAGATGGGATTGTGAGCAGGTTTGTATTAATGTGTCTGTCTAAGTTGAGACAGAGGTAAATTGGTTTGTTTTGATGAGACCTCTAAATTACCCTTTCAGGGATACAATAAATAAGTTAAGCATAATACTTAGAGATAGTCTCTTTGGATTCTATCACATAATATCTAGGTTACCTATTAGCATGCATTCTATGCGAGAATATTTACTATTATAGCAAATATCACATTATAATGTTTAGATCTACCAAGCTAGCCTATGATTATTTCTATATATTATTTATAGTTATTGTTCTTTATTGTCTTATGTTGTTGGTTTTCTTTATGGAACTACAAAGAATATTGGCAATCCTTAATTCAAATTATTCAGATTCTAATTTTCTTGTTCTAATATGAGTCATGTCCTATGCTCTAGGTTTTATTTTAGTGAATATGCATCATATCACTAATTTCAGAGTTTAGGCTAAAATAATATATTTTTACGTGTGCCTTGTGCCATCAATTCTAAGTTTCCACATGTGATAAAACAAAGTTAATAATGTGTAAATTATAACCTTAGTGATTATATGCAATGGAAGGCATGTTGGTACTTTTTTTTTTTTTTGGTAAAAGAGAAACAGAAATATTTCCTCATTATCAAATTATCAAAGTTATCAAATTATGGTACATGCCAATAATAAACAAAATGCATCAATTTTGACTAGGGTACACATCTAAGAAATTGATGATTCTAACTTTAAAGTGTTACAAATTTAAATATGTTTGATCATCATATGATTATAAATCTAATTTCTACCATTTTTTTTAGAGGATGTGGTATCTTAGACCCCAAAACTTGTTTGTCCACTAAAACAAATTCTCTGTCTTACGGTGGCTTGTTATTGGAGACATCTAGGGCTGCATACACTAACGTCTTCTAGGAGCTTCTAGATGCACTAATTTGTTATTTTAAGGTTCTCCAAGTCACTGGGCTGTACCACCGTGCCCTTCTTTGATGTAAATGGAATCATGCATGAAGAGTGGCCTGGGCTTTTTAAGCATGGGAATGGTAAGACAGTGGAGAATTCAATCCAGTCTTATTTTTCCCAGCACTGCAGGTTGAATTACTACGAGGAGCATATTTGCTTTTTGAGGTTTTTTTGTTTTCTTCTTTCCCTATCATGGTGTGATTGACAAAGGTTCAAGGCTAACAGGTTCAATAACCAGAGAGTTTCCTTCTTCCTCATCTGGTCAATTATTAAACATTTCAGACCCAACAACACAAGTTGAATTGCACTGCTAGGCAGACATTTTCACTTGTCTCTTTGGAAGAAATACAATTCTGTCAACATTAGCAAAAATGCACTCAACACTCCTGCAAAGGTTATCATAATGCAAAACAGACATCAAAATGACTTTTTCCTGTCCCTGATATATCTGCATCACAGATGGCTTAGCATGATTTATGACTAGTCCTTAGAAGGGCCCTGTGGACTCCCCTCATTACTAAATCCGTAACTATTTATTCTTTCCTAAAGCCCTTAAAAAGAGAAAAGTAAGCATTTTAACCCCCTACTCTGTGTTTAAGAATTACGTTGGCTCTTATGGAATGTCAGTCGGTGATTACAGTTTTCTAAGGAATTTTTCTGGTGGCTTAAACTTCATGTGACTATTCTGAGCACAAAGTAAATTATTATGGAAAATTTGAGCTAAGCCTTCCAGTTGTGCCTAAGTTGTTGGAAATAATATGCAGAGGAACCCCTTTGTCGTGCTTTTTCTAAAGTACAGACGAAAGAAAATACTATTGTATGTGTGCGATAGCATGGAATTTTAAAAGATAAATGTTCTAACAGGAAAAGCTATAAATGAGCTTTTCTGTATTTTCTTCTGCTCTTAACTAACCTAAATCATCGCGCAGATAAAGTAAAAACTTTGAAATGTTCGTAAGTTTTACACAGGCTGTTTATTATGTTGTATACTGGCTCTTTAATAATTTCAAAGGATGAATGATAATTGAAATAGCAAGTTTTAAATAAGAGGTTAATAAGTGAAAACACATTTTGGCAGAGTTTGAAGTCTGGAGTTCTGGAACCTCGGAAATTTTTGTATCCTCAATATTGGAGCAGAAGTTTTACTCCAAGCTTTAGTAAATACACACACTCATTTCGATTGCAAGGAAGATACTTTGCAAGTAAATCTTCCCTCTAGAGGCTTCTGTATGGACAGCAGCATTTCGGTACCTTCACTTAGGCCACTTCTAAATATTCCTATTTGTTGGTATGTGCCTTGTCTCCTATTTCCTTAAGCATCATTTATAAAAATCCCTTAGGACTAGGACCTGTGGGGGATTAGCAAGCATTTAGAGACATTTAGCATTCTTCATAATTTATACCAGCAGATTTGGGCAAAACAGATGGAGTGCAGAGAAAGAATTAAAGGCAGGAGAGAAAATTAAATTTTGAAAAAAGAAAACAAAAATGGGGACCATTGAAGCAATAGTTTAAACCCGGGGTCCATAATTCTTCTGAAGTGACCTAAAATGATACATTCTCCATTTCCTATTTTTGATGAGGTTATAAAAGCAAGAATTAAGACCTCAGAAAAATAAGACCCTTTATAGAAGCTTGAGCTATCTTCTGGAGAATACTTTAACATCCAAGAAGAAAGAAATTGGCTTGTGCATTGCAGATGTTTGCTCTAATAGCTTAGCATCAGCATTGATGATACATCAGGTTCTGTGATTAGCTAAGCAGTCACAGGCTTATTAAGGCTCAGAACCCCCAGATCTAAATTCTTTTGCTTAGCTGTGTGTGTATGTCAAAAGAGAACAGCAAACTCAGGCAAGAAAATCCTTCCTCTGGCCCTATTTTAGTCAAGGGAAAGCCCCTGTACATAATCCGTGACACCCCTAATAGGTTTGGTGTATTTCAGTATTGGTGGAAGGTTATCATATTAAAGCTCCAAATCCTCATTTCCTGTGAGAAATTTTTATATAGTACACACAGTTAGGAGATAATGCATCCTGAGAAGTTGATTGACCCTTTAGTAAATCCCCAGGAACATTTATAATTTTGTTTTTTAAAACCAAGTAAAAAAAAATTATCCCATTGTTGTTTTTTCTCATGTTCTTTCTTTCTGTGTTTCTCGTCTTTATTTTTAAGTGGAAAATGAAGACAATTCCTCCTGGAATTGGAACTCTAGAACCTTGACATACACATCTATTATAGGGTTTTTACATAGAACCAGACAACCCTTTACTCTTTTACTAAGTGGAAAATACAGTGTATTTTGGAATTTGGAAGGGGAAATGGAGAAGCAAGCATGAGACATAATTAAGCTTACATCTAGTAAAGAGATTCTGTCCCCAAATGGCATGAGAGTCCAGTCTAATCAGACTTGCCACGTAATCTGTCTGAAACCTTGATTTCTAAACTACAGAAACTGGGGCAGTACTTCGTAAGAAATGCTGTAAGAAATACTGAGCTAATATCTTTAAACACTTTGAGTTCCTTAAGAGGAAAAATTAAATCCATTCTTGTTCCAGCTCATTGGTTCTTAACTAGGGGCAAATTTGTACCCCAGGGGAGATTCAATAATGTATGGAGACATTTTTTGGTTGTCACAATTTTGGAGGGAGGGTGCCAGTGGCATTTCTTAGATAGAGCCAGGGATGTGGCTAACCATCGTACAATACATAAGACATTCTCCCACAATGAAGAATTATTTGGCCCAAAATGTCAACAGTGCCAAGGTTGAGAAACCCTGCTCCAGATGTAGGTTTTATCATTATTCTATCTTTTGGATTATAAAGTTAATTGTTTTTTGCTTTTTATTTTTATTTTTTTTTTCTGAACAAATTTAAGTCTCCCGAAGATTCTTTAAAGTAGAAATGCAATTTTTAGGAAATTGTCTTATCAAAATGGATGTTAACACATTTTCTCATCATGATGCAAACGCATTAGAACCATAGGTGATCCATTATTCCTTCTCTGTCTGGTCGAATGCAGATTTAGCCCCGTACATACCGGAGATGTCTGGGTGGCAGTTTAAATGAGCCGCTTGCCTCCCTTCCCAAGCCAAATTCAGAATCTTTTAACTGACAAGCACATTTTAAAACGTGCTTCTAGTAACTGCTGATTGCTTCACAACAACCTGCAAATAAGGTTCCTGGATGACTTTCTTCAGCAAGCCAAGTAATTCTGTCCAAGCTCTTTGAGAATTCCACAGCACCTCCACGAGAGCCCATGCACTGTTTGCCTGTGGATTCCTAGGAGGTTATCCATTCCATGATAAGTTCTTTCCAACTTCCAGTGCTGGGTAAAGAATATGTCCTCTCCTCATCATCTAGATTTTCATGTGGTATTAGTGGCACCCATTCTCTTCTCTTAGCACAATCATTGCCTCTAGATACTTATCAGAGACTCAGAAGCTATGTGGTGTTGTACATGGGTGTACAGAGACAACAAAATGCTGAACCAGCACAGCCAAGAGCACGAGGGACTATTTTTGCAATTACTGCTCTGATACAAATGCATTTGTACATGAAGTACATTTATATGCGCATATTTATCTCTGTGCACATTAGGCAGCCAGACATATTTACAATTTATCTATGCACATATATTTTTTAAATCATCTGTGTCAATGGCAGTGTACATCTTGTAAATGGCACATTCCATACCTTCATGGTTCCACGGATGCCATGTTAGTGGGCATCAGCGTGGCCCTTTGGGGTTTCTCCCACTGCTAAGTTTGTATACTAATTTCCGATAAACCATCGGCCAAGCATATAGCGTGTGTGTTTCTTACATGGTATTTGACTGGGAGAGAAATAAAATACTCGGGCTTCAAACTGAGCACTCTTTTGAAGGGAAGGAGTCTGATAACATATAGACAATTATAATTTGGGTTCCTGGAGCTGACTCTACTTGGTTCTGATGACATCTAAATGTGAGCATTATTGTGACACTCATTACAAAATGGCTTTTATTGTTTGGATTATATCTCTGTGATTACAAAGAAGATTTGAGAGGAATGTAACTCATATGTAGAGACCTAGGTATTATATATCTGCACATGAGAATGTAGTCTGTGCTACACACTGCTTCATCCACATGTTCAGGACGGCAGTTTCAAATATATGTCCCATATTAACGGAAGGAAGTTACAGTGGCCTTCATCCCGCTGACCGAGTGTAAGCCACACCTGCTCAGATCTCATGCCTGTTTTGCCAAGACCCAACTTTTCTGATTCCTTTCAGATAAGCTAAATGGAGAAGTGTGGGCCTGTTTAAACAGGATAGGTTACAGAGCTATGGAGATGGCATAGTCCTTTGGTTTGATGCCTGAGTCACCCCTCAGCCCCCAAAGAAAGTGTCTCTTTTCTCCTGGGAAAGAAGGAACGAGAAGGGAGTTAGGTGGAGGATCAGTGTATGGAGCAAAATAGTTAGCTAGTTTTTTGCATGTGGATGTACATCCCACAGAATGAAGAAAAATGGAGATTTTTTTTAAAACTTGGGGTTGTCCCCAAGTTCATAAATCACCTGGTTCCTCTAAATGGCTCTTGCCTTTGAAGTATGAAGATAATGTGGATAGTTAAGCATAGAAGCACAGTGTCAGAGTTTAGAATTCATCACTTGATAAGTGGTCCTTCTATGGAAAAAAAAGAAAAGCCTCGTTTTCTGCTTAGCTGCAGCTCTTCACGTGGGGCAGGAAAGCTCTCTAGGAGAGCTCAAATCCCTACCTTGGGAGAAGAGAAAGAAAGCGTCAGAGCTGAGGCATGAATCATTGTTGGGCGATTCCACACTGAGGATGGCTGTCTCAGAATACGAGGGCAAGAGCACATTTTGAGCAACGTAGGGTTGGAAATAAGAGAGTGCAACTGACCTGGGTCCCTAAGGTCTCTCCTTTTCCAGGCTAACGTCATGTTTTAACCAAACCTTGCACGTTGAGCTTTCTTTCCTAATGCGCTGAGCTGCACGATGACTTCAGAATAATATCAAGCTTTTGCAGTCCCTTATGTTTAGGTTGAGGGTGGGCTAGGTTTAGCACAGTGGTGCCAGGATGCACCTAAAGGCTAACTCTGGGTGCTGCCTCCATCTCTGGGAGGTCAAAGCAGATGATTAACTGCCCTTCTTGAGGCCCTCTTTTACTATTATTATTATTCATATTATTATTGTCAGCAGCATTTCATAGTTCATGCATGTTTGAGAATTTCTGGCCCATTATTTGTTTCATCCTCTTTCATCCTGGCAGGTGGCAGGGAAGGGTAGATCACCCCCACATATTCTTATAGTCTTCAAGGTTCCCTGGGCTGTTTGCCACTCAGCAAGGAACTTCGCCTTCTTTCTAGAAATTAGGAATGTCAATAGACCCATATCAAGGGCCAGCCCTAGTGTGTGACATTGCCTTCATGCACTCCCTCCTAGGTGCTGCTTCCCATGTGAAAGTAGACGGGTTTAGCAATAGTATATTTAGAATCCAGTTAAATAGCTTATGTGCTCCATCATCGGGGCAGAAGTATAACTGACCAGCACATGTTCTCTATCTTGTGGTCCCCTGGCCAACTCTAGAATTTTAGAGGCATGAAAGAGAGATCCTAGGTCTGGAGACTGCAATCCAAATAGAAAAGTTGAGAAGAATACATGTTCCCTTTCTCAGCTTGAAGTTGCTAAGGGGAAGCCATCCCATTGGCAACTTGTAGTAAGGTGTGTCTTTACATAACATAAACAATATGCACCCTTTATTGCTTGCTCTGTTCTTCATGCTACTAACCAGACTCTGTTGATATTATTTTTATTTTAGTTTTTATTTGAGGGGTTGCTTTGCATGTCATTCTTCCTCTTGGCTGTTAGTTGCGGGGGTGGAGCCTTTTCCTTTCTGTGATTCAGGTGCCTCACTCTTTCCTTTCCAGGTTCTTCCAGTTCTTTTAACATGTCAAACTCTGGAGATTTGTTCATGAGCGTGCAGTCACTCAATGGGGATTCTTACCAAGGGGCCCAGGTTGGAGCCAACGTGCAATCACAGGTAGGGACCCAGCCAATATGCTGCCAGGTGAATGCACTAGAGTCCAAGAGCCCTCAGTCGTATTGGCGCTTCCTGCTTTTGTCCAGAGAGAGAGAGAGAGAGAGAGAGAGAGAGAGAGAGAGATCAGAACCAAAACCTTACCGACACCAAACCAAACCGAAACAAAGACAACCATTGTCATGGGGAATCTCGTCCACACTTTGTGAGTGCGTTTGGCTCTGGCTCTTCAGTCACGGTAGGAGCAGGAAAGGAGCAGTAAGCACAGGTCAAGGTGACTGAGGCACGTCAGGCGAGGAGAACCAGCATGTTCTTTACTCACCAAAGGGAGAGGGAGGAGATTAGGCCACCGTCTCAATTTCCAGGTCTCCCTCTCATTTGTTGATTTCCCATCCTCAATATTTGCCAAATAAGGAGATAATTAATGAGTAGGCAAATACATTAGTATCTCATGTTTTCATTTTAAGCTTTAAAAACACCTAGTCATGGTGACTAACCTCATCTTCTTAGACATTCTTCAGGTCAAGGGATTTGGGTTTCTGGTGATGAGCATGAGTCTACTTTGGGAAGCAAAAACCAAGTCATGTGATGTCGAAGCTCAGGGCTCCACAGTGAGCAGATTGCCTCACGATACCTCAGGAAGCCTTGCTACTATCTCAGCATGAAGCATGATGTAAGAGTAAAGTATTATGCTCTGGGTCAGAATATTAGGGAAGTTCTGAGCCATGTGAGTCCAGTTTCCCACGCTGCATATGGAATAGGAAGCAGCACGTGCCTGGAATAGACCAACTGGTCCGTGATTCAGCCCTTCGCTCAGGCAGCATTGCCTGGAAGCAAGTTTGAGATGATGGGGTCAGGACTTGGTCAAGTGACTAAACAACTGGCCATCACTTAAGTGCTCAGAAGAACAGGCCTTAGTCACACACTGCTCTCTCTGTGAGATGGCTGCCCAAACCTCCTCCAAACAGAACCTTGGCTTTTCTGCAATACCTAGCAAAGGAGAAGCTCATGTAGGATGATCAGGGAAGACCAATGGGAAAAGGGAAAATTCCTTCACTCTCCCCTCATGAGCCCCCTTTGTCATCCCATCCCCACCATCTCATGCAGCATTGTTGGATTAGCTTCAGTGTTGGGAGCCCAGTTTCCTTTTATCATTTACGGTCTTGCTTACTGAACTGAGAACTGGTAATGGATTTGGCACATGGAGGAGGTCCAGCCTCCTCGTCATGGACTCTTTTCTAGGAAGACTGTCTCCAAAATGATTGTGTTAATATGGCATGCCAGAGGGGAGCCTGCATGATGACTAGCTGCCTCCCCTGCCCTGCGCCTCTCTGACTAACTTCCTCTCTGTTGTCGTTCATCTGTTTAGGTGGATACCCTTCGCCATGTTATCAGCCAGACAGGAGGATACAGTGACGGACTCGCAGCCAGTCAGATGTACAGTCCGCAGGGCATCAGTGTAAGAAAACAAGGCTCCCCGCCCCCCACCCTTTGTTTTTATTCTATCACTACCAATTATTTCAAAGCCATAGGGCCCGGAATGCCACTTAGTAGGACTTGTCTTAGCTTTACGGTCACCTAGTTTCTTGTTTCTGTATCGGTCATGCCATCGGCAGCATTCTACCCACAAAAAAGTGGCGATTGGGCAGGCTTCATGCAGGCAGCTGGCGTCTAGGGCTGTCAGACACAATCAGCGTTTGCATGGCACCTGCGGCCACATGTGTTCAGCTAGAGGAGCTGCTAAACAGGTGACACCTAGTACAACGGTGGTAGGAAATGTCACTACAAGCTGGGGCCTGGGAACCTAGGAAGGAAAACCCAAGGCCAAAATCCATTGCATCCAGGTCTGCGATCTTAAAAAATAACCTTTTTCCAATCTGTCTATGGACGATTAAAAAAAAAATTAACACAGAGGCTGGGTATGTTGAAGGGATGGGGAGGGGTGCAGACCATCTTCTACTTGTTCTTGGGTGCGCTGGCGGCTCCTGACTAGCATGAAAATTCATAGCGACAAGCTATGTCGCACAGAGTGAAATCGATCAGACAGACACAAGGAGAACCGAGTGTAGATTTGGGACAGCAATCCAACTTGATTTCTCAGATCAATCGTCCGCTATCTCAGCAGCGGTGACAGCAAGCTGGGACAAGAGGGCAGCCTGGAAAAGGAGGCTGTTTTTTAGATCAGGGGTGATTTCTGGGCTTTTAGAGGTCACAAGAGGCTCCAGTAGAACTGTTGGCTCAGAACTAGTGAAGAAATCTGTGGTTGGTTGGTGGTGATCATTTTTTATTATTTGTTTCTGTTGTTATGGTTAAAGTAAATTAGGGACAGAGGGAAGGAAAGGTAGGCATGATTTATTAACGTAGTCTTAGACTACACTAATTGAGGTATAACATCTGCAGTGAAGGAGGCGATGGCCCCTTCAACTCTACACTGGGCAAGTCGTACGTGATTCTGGCCGGCCGGGGAGGAAATTAGAGAATGCCACGCATTCCATCAGATGAGGAACCATTGAAAGAATTAGGAATTCCTACCCCATAGAAGATAAGGTTTGGGTGGTATGTAATAGTTTGAGACACGCTATCATCTGTGGGAGAGATTAGATTCATCGTAAATGTTCTATATAAAAAGCACTGGACAGAACCACTGAGTAGAGGATTCAGAGAAAGAGATTTCACTTGAACATTTATAGACTTTTCTCCCAGTCAGAGTTCTCCAAAAGAAGGGATTGGCTGCCCTTAGAAGTCAAAAATTCCCCATCATTGGAAAATTCAAACATTGTTTGCTGGCTACTTGGCAGGGATGTCGTGGAAGGGAGTCAACCACCAGACTGTGATTGTCTTGGTGACTGTGAAGGCCACTTACATCAGAAATTCTTTATTTTCTGCCTTCTTCAGGCAGAATCTGCTCTGAGTTCATGTAATATTTGTCCCTCTCTGGGAAGGAAGGAGGGACGTCCCAGTCAGCACTGTTAAGCATACTCTGGGCAATCATGTCGTCTTCAAGGAAGAATGTCCAGAGCAGAGAGATCCTTCCCGTCTCGTGCTATGCTCGCAACACTAAGTATTATTACTTGCTGGGGAGCCTACTTGGAAAAACAGAGGAAACCATCATGGGAAAGGATATTCTCAAAATGAATTCCAAATGCATAAAGTTGCTCTAGTCCGTCTGTGTGTGCAGGCTTAAGCACGCATGCATTTATGTATTTCCTAAATCTTTTTGAGATAAAAGATAAATTTTTCCAGAAAAAGCTTTGTTCTATGCATAAGTAGAAGAGAGAAATGTGAGGACGGTACAGTGGTGTGGGGACAAGAATGTGGGCACACTCAAAGAGGGAACCAAAGAAAGTCCACGTCACTGGGCAGGAAATGGGGTTGACACTTCTGCTATTTGGCATTTTTCTTTCCGAATTGAGTAGCACGGAAGAGAGCTCCGGAGGGGTCAACACTGACCCCTGTGACGTCAGCTGGTGGGCTGGGAATAATTTCTGAAATAGTGTAACCAAACATGTGCAGACAATCATTTCTGATTACATAAGCCCGCCACAAAAACTGGGCTTGAAAATGCCACTTGAAAGAGTGTCTCTCATTTTGCATTAACTTTTTTCCTTGTGAACCGTGGTTATTTTATTTCTGGGTCTTTAATATGCAGGGTAAATGAATCAAAGGCTGATCGTGATGTTCTTTGATATCAATTTTAAATTGTACCACCTGCAGGAGGCTCAGCTAGTTATGGTGAGACATATTTTTAGCTGGTGGTATTAGATGCTGAGACATGTGCATGTATAGGGTAGGACCATGGCTGCCAAGAGAACAGAGAGAGAGAGAGAGAGAGAGAAGGAGAGACGAGAAGAGACAAGGAAGGACAGGAATGAAGGGTTTATGCCAAGAAATAAAAATAAACAGTTCCTAAACCCAAAGCTGCAGTGGAATTCCCAGCCGGACTCTGGATTATGTTTCATTTGGTGGAGGACATTTTCTGGGCAGCCTGTTTCCACTCTCTTGGCTGGGTTTTCACAGCACCCATATCTTATCCAACCAGCGTCTATTTTAAGTCCTATAAAGTTCAGACCACTTGCCTTTAACTGCCCACGTAGCAATAGGATTGCCAGGTGTAGTGTTCAGAGTCCTATAAAGGGAGCCGGAACGCTAGTCCCAGGAACTCGTGTGCCCATGGGCAAACGTCGAATCTCTCTTCTATGAAACAGGGCCAGTAATTCTCACCTCCATACCTCAAGGACTGCTTTAGGGAAAATGAGAAAATAAGTAGGAAAGGGCTTGGCAAGGCATAAATTATTCCACATGAATACAGTATGAAATTTTATAAGTGATAAGTTTCTAATTTGACCTTTTTTTTTCCTCTTGTCTGAGCAGTTTTCTCAGTAGGTAGTTCCTAGTGAGGATAGGTTAGGACACGGTTGTCACTTTTTTCCCCTTTTGATGGAAAGGTATGCTTTCGAGATGGATATAGAGTTACTCAAGGCCTAAAGACCCCCTTCTTTAGCCACTGTGAGAGTTAAATTATACCTCCTTAAGTACTTTGTGTTCTCATATGACAACGGGCAATGCTTGCTAGGTTTAGAGTGGCTCTAAGTAATGGAGGGAGATTATTCCGCGTCTCTGTCAATCAGACACACTTAAAGATCACTTAGCTATCACATTTTTCCTTTCCATTCCCACTGCCACCGTCCTAGTTCTAGAAATAGTTCATTAACTAGACTATTATAATAGCTTCCCAGTCACTGCTGCTGTCTTTAGTTCCTCCTCTGTCCTGCATACATCCCCTGAATTTTATCCTTTCTTGCTCAGAAGTCATCAGTGGCTCCTGTTTCCTACCTAAGCAAACTCAAACCCAGAGTCCGACATTCAGGGCCTTCCACGTCTGGCCTTAGCCTACCTGACCTTCCACCTCGTCCTCCCATTGTCAGAGTAAACTCTGGATGCTATTCAGTGTGGTCAGCTCACTTTTACCTGGTTACGTGCTTTCGCCTTATGTTCACTCATGTATGCATCTACACAAATGTCCTGTGGTTCCTGCACCGCCTCCCCCATCCCACCCTACTGTCAAGATCACACTCTCTCAAGCCCGGCTCCTCCTTGGTGCCTTTCTTCTTTTTCTTAGTCCTTCTTCCCCTCTTCTCTCTACTTTATCTCCCTCCCTCCCTCCCTCCCTCTCTCTCTCTCTCTCACACACACAGACACACACACATTCACACACACATCCTTTGCATTATATGTGTATGCACAGAGGATACTTAATTATCTCTGTGTCTTTTACTCCTGCATATGTATGTGGTCCCAAAACATATACACGAGTTATTCAAAACATGTTTGTTGGATGGATAAATCAGATAGGAAAGGAAAAGATGCTACTAAATTAAAAATGCATTTTTGACCAATGGCCACATCTGGTGTACCAGCTATAAAGTATCTAGTAAGAATTACTATCTCAGATGCTTCTCTTACGCACGAATATGCTATCTTTAAAATCTTAAAAAATGTTCTTCAGTCTTTAGTTTTGGAAAAAGTTTTCCAGACTTTTTGGTCACTCACTGCTGATTCCCTGAGAATAAGATTCAAATCAGCATTTAATATATGAAGTTATAGGGTGATGGTACTGCTGAATTATCCTCAGCAATAGGATAATTCCTATAATTAATTCCTTTAATTCCTTTCATTCCTCCTAGCCTAAAAGAGTCTTTGCGTTCCTATCCTAAAAGAATCCCCGTAAAAAAATACCTGTGTGTGGGATAGCCATCCGTGTAACGGTATGACATTTTTTCTACCGGGACTGTCACTGCCCTCCCTGTTAGGTGTGGGACTGGGACCACCAAGGACAACCCAGTGCAAGGTGGAAACAACTTGAAACTGGTAAATTTTGATCCTTCTTGTGGCTTTTCTTTTGAGGAGTCGCTTCACCTCTTCGTGTTTGTTGCTTCATTTGTAAAATTCACCAGATAAGGAAGCTTGAAGGTCCCTTTCATTTCAGTGGTTCTAGAATTCTACAATTAGGATCTTTGATTCTTAGTGTTAGCTCAAGGAACACCAGACTAAATTATAGATCACCCCCCAAAAACCTCTTTCTTTAGAGTTAGTATCTTCCATACTTCCTAGCCCACCCCACTATTTCCCGCTTAACTTGTATCTTGAAACCTAAATGGGAAGGAAAAACCACTCTCATTACGTGAACTTTTCTCTTTGAATTCTTGAATTTTGTGCTAGCAGAAAGCATTATTCTTTAGGGTGAAACAATGTATTTTTAGTTGTTTTAAAATGTGAGTTAAGAGAATGAATTCACTCCAGGCAGTCTAGTAAATACATACCCCTCTAGATTTTTCTTATTCAAAAGTTTTGGTGAAAATGGAAATTGTTATCCATTTCCACTAAAAGTGTTAGTGTTATCTCTATAAAGGCAACCTGTCATTAACATCAATTTATGACAGGAAAAAAAAATCTCCTTAA